GCGCGCGCGCACGGGCGTCGCGGCGTTCGAATGATTCTGGCATGCGGCGCGAGAGGCCCCCTTGCTTTCATTCCATGCGTGTCCAGGAACAACGTATATGATTCGCAGGGATGCTCAGGAACGCGAGGGGCGAGGGCTTCGGGGGGGTGAGGTTGGGAACGCCGCAGGCGTCTGCGTTTTTTTTGGGTGCCTTTGCGGTGGCGAGGCGCCCGGGCATGAGAGCCTGCAGGGGAAACCAGTCCAAAGCTTTAGCAAGGTCAACGCTAGCGATCCACAGTTGGAGCTGCCACTCCCAAGCGATCGGGTAGACATCCTCAACAACGACAAAAGCGTCGTCTACGGAGATGTCCGGTCGAAAACCTTCCTGGTCGTGCGTCTGTTCTTTTTCCAGATCGGGTTGCAATCGCGCAAACATTAGGCGAGCAAGTATTTTGTATGTGATGCGTAGAATTGCTGTGGGCCGCCAGTTCTTTACATCATGTCTGCTGCCAGTCTTCGGCAGCATGATACAACACGTTTCCTGCCAAGTGGGATCGATGCGGCCTGTATTGAGCGTCAAGAGGCGTCTGTGCAAAACATCACCACCGCATGCACACATCTCAACGGTGATGCCGCGTTTATCTGCGCATTTGCCGTGCTTCATATGCTTAAAAAAACTTGCCGCAACTCCTGCATGCAAAACGGCGTGATGTTACACGGGCCTCTATAGCAGCGTGCCGCCGCTCAGTCATCTCTGGCAGCGCCGCAGTCCGTGAAATGTACTTGCTCGAGCGAAGCCTTAAACACATCACTGCCTACAGGACAACGCTAGCTCTGCTGCGAAGGGAACATGTGCACCCGAGTCACATGTTTGATGTCTTCAAATTTCGACAACTGCGAAGCAACACGCGCATCACAATATTCCCGCATGCGTTTTCGGTGCTCTCTAAAAGTGAGCTTTGACAGTCTAGACCGTTCTTGTGAGTCGCGCGTGCTTCGTCGTTTCCAGCGCATCTCTCCTAGCTCACGTGCGTCCCATGGCTTCGCATGTGGACGAGCATCGTCTCTCCGAGTCGATGCCTGCATGGTTGATGCAACAACGTAACCCTCCAGGTCAAAGAGGGAGGGAGGGAGTGAGGGCGAGAGAGCGTCAGACAACGAATTTTGCACAATGCTCTCATAGACCCGGTCGTGGCCCTCGGCGTCCAGAGACGGCTTCCACCGAACCGCGTCGTGTTGGCGCCCATTCAGGCGTCGAGCACCTGGGCCGAAATGAAAGATCCCATGCAACGCACGATGGTCTGACCCCATATTTAGAGAGTCACTCGGGCAATAAGACTGTCAATGGAAAGAAGCATCGAACAACATATAATCCAGAACCCGCGTGGCACCGAGCGAGCTCCAGAAAGTCCACGCCTCGGGCCCACAGCAACAGTTCCCGGCTTCAAAGCCGTAATCAAAACAAAACGCTTGCAGTAGGCGCCTTGGTTCGCCGATTTCAAACTGGGTGTTGAAATCACCAGCTATGCAAAGTTTTTGGCATCGCTTCTTGGCAAAATCGACCTCCTGTAAGAATGCATACCAGTCTACTAAATCGTCGTTCGGGTATCCCGCGTGTGGCATGTATACAGAGAGGAACGTGCAAGCAATGCGATTGATTTTGAAAGCAACTGCCAACACCCGGCCGCGTTACGAGTATTTGTGACACCCGCCGCGTGCCGAGCATACAAGCAAACAGCCACCCCTGCGTATCTGGATGATCCCGATGCAGCTATAAAGCGATGCCCCCCGTCGAGGTCAATGTCATCACATACCGCATGGGTCTCGCTAAAACAAACAACGTCCCAAGCTAGATCCGAGAGTTCCCCTAACAAAAGCCCCAGCCGATCAAGAGTATATACACGTGCGTTTTTGCCGTAAACGTGAAAGTTTAAACCAGCTGTATTATTCACATCGAATTCTGGTGAAATATCCCCCGTGCCCCTCGACCAGCGCTGTCCCTAACAGCGGCCGCCACCTTTGCCACCTTTACCGCTGCCTGCCATTGCCGCCACGCGCAAGTTCGTCGGAGTGCGTCTTCACAATCTCTCGCCACTCCGGGTCAGCTCCAGAGAACTGCTCCCAGCCGTCGCCATACTTGATGTTCATCGCTCCCGTCGTGGCGTTCACCTCCAAACCGGTGTCGTCTCCCATCTTCATCGTGCCAACTTTTGGGTCCATCCAGAACGCTCTTTTCTCGAAGTCCCACTCCACGAGCAGCTTCTGTGCGCCGAACAGGAAGGAATTGGGCGCCCGGACCTCAAGAGGTTCGTCCACCTTTGCCCACATTGGCTTGTCCTTCAGGTAGGCGCGCGCGGCTTGGAGCTTCGAAACTGCAGAGTTCCGATCGGCCGTGGAAGCGAACTTACCGAAAAGAACGCCCGAGAAATCTCGCTTGGAGTAAAACTCGTCTGCGGACGGGGCGTTGCACCACCAGAGTTTGTCTGTCAACCACGTCTCTGTCTCCGCCTGGCCTGGCCGTTGAATCCAAGAAGCTTGCCGAATACGGCGGTCTGCTGCTTGGAAGCGGTGCCATTGGAGACTATGGAGCCAGCGGTGCTCCTCAGCTCAGCGATCTCGAGCTCCATCGCCTTGATGTGGTTCATGACGTCCTCGTAAACAGTCGACAGAACGTTGGTCCCCTCAAGGTTCTCCAAATTGGTGATGCGCATGTCAACGTTCTCCATGCGTTCCTCCACCGCCGCCATCTTCGTGTCGAGTCGGTTCTCCAGGCTGGCGATAGCAGTCCTTAGTGGTTGGACCTCTTGTCTGGATAGGTGCGCGATTTCATGAAGTGCTGCTGGGCGTGCCTCGGGTGCTGAGCTGCTTGCCGTTGCGCTCGCGCTGAATGCTTCTGGGGGCGTGGCGGGAACCTGCTGGGCAACGGGCGCTGGGCGGGGTGGAGACAAGTCGAGGTCATCCAACCCATCCATCTGGTGGAGCGGGCTGAAGAGGCGTCGGCGTACGTCGCGCGAAAGAGTTGCTCCAACTAGTGCCCCTGGCATCCGCGCGGTCGTGGCAGCCATCGAAAGATACGGGTATGGAAAAGGAAAGTTGGGAATGTTGGATGTGGAGAGATGCGGTGTTAACGAAATTGTTCCCCTGGGACGCTTGTCCCATGCGCCTCCTCCCCCCTAAACAATGCACTTGGGTACGGACGGAGGGAGCTGTCCGCGCGGGGGCGAGACAGGTGCCCGCTGCCCCGGCCGTGTCTGCCTCCTCCCCCGCACTCGCCCCCCCGAGGACCGACGGCCGACCTCAGCAGGGTTCACGGGGAAACCAAGAGGGACCGATACCGCTACTCCCCAGACCTCTCTCGGGGCGCGTTCTGACGAGGACTTCGAGGGGAACCCAGCGGTGGCGTCGAGGGCCTCCCAGGAGGCCCCAAAAGAGGAGAACGGGGCGAGGGGTAGCGGTATGGCTACCTTGTTCTTCCGCCGAGGTCAGGGCGAGGGGTGCCGAGCCTCGCCTGGCGGGCGCGCCCCCGCGGCCCTCCCCGCCCTCTCCGCGCGCGCGCGTGCACGGTCGCCTCGGGCAGGACGCGCTCGAGCTGACGTGGTACCCCCTGGCCAGGGACTGCACGTTCTACGTCGCCCTCGCGATGGGAACCAGAAGCGAGAGTGGAGCGGAAGGGAGGAGGAGGGTCGCCACGGACCCAGGCCCCCTCGCGTGGCGACAAAAATCACGACGAAAGGTGTTTCGCTATGTTCGGCCTCCAGGGGCCCCTTGCTGGGCCTCGGGACCGTCAAACAACGGTTCAGGAAGGGGTCCAGATGTCTGGGGGAGGGGTCCAGATGTCTGGGGGTCGACGTTGCGAAAAAAATCACGACGACTGGGGGCTGGGGAGGATGAGGACCGTGGACTGTGGACCATGGATGGAGTGGAAGGGGGGAGGATACGGATTTGTTTCAACCGTCCTGTGGTGCCCGGCCCTCGTCTTGAAGAGACCGCACCTCGCGTCCTCCTCTCCTCCTCCCACTCCTCCCTCCTCCCATCTCTGCCACTACCCTCCGCACGTGAATTCTGGTACACCCCTCAGAAGTTCCGTGGCCCCATAGAGGGCTCCACCGAAGCTCCCAGTGGCGCAGTTCGCATGCGGTCCCGCACCCATGCCGGCACACCGCTCACAAGATTCGTGGCCCCATAGGGAAGTTCCACCGAAGGTCACAGTGGCGTAGTTCGCATGCGGTCCCGCACCCATGCCGGCACACGGCTCACACGCTTGGCCCCATAGGGAGCTCCACCGAAGGTCCCAGTGGCGCAGTTCGCGTGCGTCCCGCCATCCATGCCTGCACAGCCCTCACACGTTTCGTGGCCTCATTGGGAGCATGGATTCAACGATGCCCCCCTGCTCTGGCATCGGACTCTCGCGGACCATCTGTCGTCGCTGGGTTTCGTTAAGTCCCTCCTTGAGCCCTGCCTCTACTCGAAGATTTGTCGTTATCTCAAGGCGACGGCAGCACAGGGGCTGACCGTCTGGAGTCTAGACCCTCACTCTCTTGTTTTTGTCACCGCATCGGATGCGGGGGGTCGGGGGGCGCCGGGCGAGGTGGAGCCCGAGGGGCCTGGTTGGTCCTCGCCTCCGATGCCGGGATTCAGAGGAACGTTCCTGCAAGAGTCAGTTTGCTTTCTTCGCGCTCCCAACGTTTGAAGAGGGTTGTCGCCTCGACGGCGGCAGCCGAGCCTCTGTTTCTCAGCAGTGCCGTCGCCGAAGCCCAGTGGCTCCAAGTTCTCTGGCGCGACGCCGTGCACGAAAACGTGCCACGTCCTGATTGGTATACCGCAGCCTCTCCGTTTGCCGTGGTGACGTCTCGGGAATGCTCTCTGGCAGAGAAGGCGAACGCGTTGTCGGTGGTTGATGCCAGAAACGCCTTTGACACCGTCTCGAAACACGGTGGGCCCGAGGGCGGATCGGCGGAATTCGGTGAAGTTGGCGGTTGTTCGTGACAGGGCCCACCGTCCGTTGGCTCCCGCGCGGCAGGATGCCGGCGGACCCCTTGCCAGAAGTGTTCCCGGTCCAAGGTGCCCCGAACATTCACCTAAGGTGTCCCTGGCTTGGGCCGATAAGAGGGATGGGGGTGCTGGCCGTCCGCCCCCCTCGTCGTCGTCTTCTTCCTCCTCCCTCTCGTCCTCGTCGCCCTCGTCGTCGTTGTCGTCGTCGTCGTCGTCGTCGTCGTCGTCGTCGTCGTCGTCGTTCGCCTGGTCCCCCCTGGCCCCATACATCTCAGAAAACCAAGTCCCTGACACAAGCCGACTCCATTGATTCTCTGATCTTGGGCCAGGGACATCTCTGGAACGCCCAGACGGCGCTTGCCCCCAAATCCCTGGCAAGAAGGGTGGCACGACGCTCGAGGACGGGAAGCAGCCTGTGCGCGACATTTGCGTTTCGGGGCGACCCAGAGCTCGAATACGGCATGGCGCTCGAGAGCAGTCTGGAGCCTGCGGGCGGCGTGAAGCTCGCGGCCGGCCAGGACCTCGAGGACGGCGTGCAACGCGCGGTCGGGATGAAGCCCCTTCGACACAGCGCGTCCAGGGCGGCAGGAGTCCTGGAAGGAGCGAAGGGGCAAACGGAAACAGGTCTATGTCGGCCAGGAGCTCGACGGCGGCACGACGCTCGAGTGTAGCAGGGTTCCGACGGCGTCGGCATCAGCCTGGAAGGCAGCGTCGGCGATGGCACGACGTACGGGGGCAGTCTGCGCGCTGAGTGCAAAGGCTTTGGCGGCAGCAAGGATGTCGGGGGAGACCGCCGTCACGACGGGTGGGGTGGATTCGACGGCGGGGGCGAGGGCTTCGGTTTGGTCGATAGCGTCCCCGCCAGCGAGTTCTTCTTCCGTGCGGTCCTCGACGGCCAGCTCGTCGAGTTCCTGGCGCCGTGGCTCGTGGCGAGGCGCACGTCGCTCCTGAAGTCCTTCGAGGAGGTTGTATTGCGGCCCGCGCAGTGGGTGGCGAGAGTGATTGAGTGCGTGCTTGCAGCTGCACGGCGTGGCGAAGCGAGCAGCGGCAAGGCTGCTCGGCAGGGCATCGGACGCGACGACGAAACACTAAGGCTCTTCCCATCCCTGGCGCGCCCGCGCCGCAGGCTTCTGCAGCACCTCGGCCCAGGGCGCACGCCCGCGGGCCGGGGATGCCCCTGCCCCTGGCCGCGGCGGCAGTATGCGCCCCTAGGGGCGCCCTGCATCCGTCATGCTCGAACGGCGGGGGCCGTCCCCGGCCCCTCTTCTTCTGCCGCCCTCGTGGGATCTCGGAGCCCCGAGAGGGGGGCGCACCTGCCCTGCAGCAGCGAGCCCCTCGCGCGGGGCTGCACCGACTGCCTGGGGGGGGCGGTGGACCTGAGCGGCGGGCGGTGGCCGCCCCTTTTAGCAGGCGGCCGCCCTGGCCCGCTGCTGCGGAGGAGGTCTCCTTGGTAGGGGGGGCCGCGACGGAGCGCTGGCCGGGCCGGCCAGGGCGCGGCCCCCGTCGTCTCAGGGCCAGGGGCCCACGGAGCGGAGCCCGCGCGTTGCTCCGCTCTGTTGGCGTCGCCCTCGCTCTCGCTGCCGCCAGGGGTGCAGCGCGGCGCGCTGGCCCCCCGGCTGCAGGTCGGCCGAGGCCGAGGCGAGCTTCGCCCCCTCCACCGTTCTGCGGGAGGCACGTCTTGTAAGAAGCTGGCTTGCCTGCAGGTGCCCCGCGGAAGCCTCTGATCCCCCGATGGGCCCTCGGATCCACAGGGGCTTCCTAGCAGTTTCGGAAGCTTAAAGGCCGAAGTCGAATGTGCCTGTATATCTCTCGTCGTGATGTGTTTTGTTAACGTATGTGCCTGCCGCAGGCGAGACCTGAATATGCCTCGGGACAGCCTCGGTCGAGGCGCGGGTCGGTCTCGGGCACGGTGCTTCTTTTGCGTCGCCGCCCTTCGAGCACCCCTCGGCGACCTGCACCACCTGCGGCCGATTCGGGACCCTGCCAGCCGTCATGGGGGAGAGAGCGCCCTCCCCTCGGCTACGCAGGTCCTCAACCTCTTCACGGTGGCGATCGTCTTCGGCGTGACGTCGCCGAACAAGATACACTGGGTGGAGGCGATAGCCGTTGCCTCCCCAGGTAGAGGAACAGGAGGAGGAGGGGGGAGGCGGATGATCATACTAAGCTCAGGATGCACCAACGACGGCCCCTCTTCAGAAGTCTCTACAAGCAGTCCTTTTCACTGTGGGAGAAGCCCATTTGAAAGACGAGCACCGCATGAGGTTGGTATTCAGGCGAGAGCTCCGATTTGAAAATGAGTATTATTCCATCTTGCTGGTCGTAACAGTATGGAGACCGGATCATACATGTCGAATCTTGTCCAACGGGGGACTTGTTTTGGCAAGGAAACGCCATTTGTCTGTCTTTCAGCTGCACCTGTTCAAACTTGGATCCTCGTTTGAAGATGGTATGCCCTCCATCCGATTGCAAAGTGCTATAAGGATAGCATGCGTCGAAGCACATGAATGTGCAAGGTGTCTCAAGCAATAGCACCGTTCGGAAAGGAAGCTCCTTCCACCCTTGTACCAGTTTGATGCTTTGAAGTCGAGTGTGCGCGGCGCTGGGCCAAAGCCACATGTTGAATACCAACCTCTCTCCGTGTAAGTGTTGGAAGCTAGTGGGACGAGTATGCTCGGCCCTGAAGCGAGATCCACGTTGAGAAATCCATCCGCCCTTCATCCGTGCAAGTCGCCACTGGTGGCTTTCCAGACGAAGGTGCGCGGCGCTGAGGCGAGATATTCTTTTGAAACCGGTTCGCCCTCCATCGGTGTAGCTGTCGGGCGCCTTCAATGAGTGCGCGCAGCGCAGCGCTAAGGCAAAATCCATGCTGTGAGAAGCACCCGCCCTCCATCGGAGTAACCGTTGAGCTTTTCTGACGAGTGTGCATGACGTCGAGGACAGATCAGTACTCTGGAAGCGATTCGTCCTCCATCAGTATAGCTGTTGGAATTTTCAGGTGTCAGGATACCAGGTTGTATGGACATGTCAGACGAAACGCCGACTGGCCATACCGACTGGTTCGACGAGGGGCAGTTGTTTAGAAGGATCGGCGGCTGCAAATTTTTGGGTCCTCTGGAGGCTTCCAGAGGCCTCTGGAGGCCGCAGGTGACCTCCTGGGACTTAGGGTGGCTTCCAGAGACTTTTCTGGACGCCGCAGGCTTCCAGAGGTCCTCAGCGGCGCGCCGCCCCACCTTTACCTTTCACATGCGGCTGCCTGGAGGGATCAATATTGTCCCGTGCGCGCGCTTCGCCTTCAAGCTACCTTTTTGGGGGTCCCATGAAAGCGGTCCTCTCCCTCGCAGTCCAATTGTTCACGTACTGGTTGATCGGGGCATGCCGCTGCCTACAGGATCAGAGGCCCTTCTTTACCCAGCCGCTGCTCGGAGCAGCCCAAAGGTGGCCAGCGCAGGGAGGCGCGAAGGAGGGAGAGAGTGACGGGCCGAGGATCGAGGGAGGAGGGGAGGTCAAGGATCAAGGCTTCTGGGACGTACCTAGGTTGGGGGGGACCTCGGACCACCTCCGGGGAAAGGCAGGGGCTGGGGCTGCGCACAAACAGCTCCTAGAGGTATCCTCTGGCGGCGACTCTGGCAGCGGTCCGCGCCCTGGGGGGTGGGGAATGGAGACCGCCCCCCCGAGGCCAGCCTAGACCGCCTCCCAGGGGCTGCCTGTGCGCAGGTCCAGGCCGCAGGTGAGCCCGGCGGCCTCCACGGGGCTGCTCGAGCGGGCCTCCGGAGGTCTTCACAGGGGCCCTCAGAGGCCTCCGGAAGGTGCCCCCGAGGCCTCCTCCCTCGGCCTGCCTCGTCCCCGCCGCCCTCGTGTCCGCCTCGCCCCGCCGCCCTCCCCGCCAGAGCCGCGCCCCTCAGGCGCTGATCCTGCTGTCCGAGTACGTGGCCTACTGCTCCTTCATGAAGGCGGGCCCCCCCCCCTGGCAGTGCGCTGCGGTGGCCATGGCTCCTGGCCCTCGTAGATCGCGCCAATTGGGCTGATTCTTTTTTCAACGATTCCCTTGAGGAATCAGAAAGAATTGGGCCGATTCTCCATAACCCCCCCCTTTGGCTCTCCCCCTCGCCCGATAAGAGCCTTCGCCGCTCCTCGAATTCTGCTCTGGCCCCGGGAGGGGTCTGGTGGTGATGGCGCCGTCAGTGCGGAGGTTGACAGGAAACCCGCACCCTGCCAAGTCGATGACAGCCAAGACGCTGAAATAAGGACCACCTCAGGCTCAGGGGTTCTCTGCTCTTCAGGCCGTTCCTCTCTGTCTGTCTGTATAGATTGTGACGGCCTGACGGCTGGTGCCGCCGACCCTGAAAGACATCGACGACCACCAGGAGGGGGAGGAGGAGGAGAAGGAGAAGGAGGAGGCGGAGATTAGGAGGAGAAGGAGGAGGAGAAGGAGGAGGAAAAGGACTCCCGCATGGCCCCCCCCGCCCTGGGGAGGAGGACCAGAGGAGGACCAACGCAGGAGAGGGGAGGGGAGGGGGAGGGGGACCCCCAGGGACGGATGACCCGAGGAGGACCGACGCGCCGGAGAAGGACTGGCGTGGGAGAGGAGGACCCCAGAGGCGATGCGAATCTGACCCGCCCCCCCCGCGGACCCCCCGCCCCCGCCGAGGGAAGGGGCTTCCCTTTGACGTAATGAGGACGTGGATGGAATTCCTTAAAGCTGCGAGCCCGTTCCCCAAACGAGGAAGGGTGCTCTCTCTCTCTCTCTCTCTTTTTTGTTTTTTTTTTTGTTTCTCTCTCTCTCTCTCTCTCTCTCCCCCGACGGGAGTGGAGGATGGGAAGGAGGGGACGAAAGAAGGCTCCCCGTCGACGGGACCAGACAGACACCCCACACACGCCGACAGGGTCGGCGGATTTGTCCTCTCTGTTTGTCTGTATATATTTGTGTCTTTCTGTCGTTGCATCTGTCTCTCTCATGCGTGTGGGGCGTTCCAAAAATGAGCCTTGCCTTCGAGGACCGACGGATTTGCCATCTCTTCCTCGGCGGAGGGTGGCGAAGGGGCGGCAGAAGGGCGGCGGAAGGTGGCGGGGGTAAAAAATGCGCCCCCATCAGATGACAACATTTTTGGTTTCAGGGTTTCTGGAATCGGCCATGTGGTGGATTCCAGAAACCCTGAACCCAACATGAAACTTGGATTCCAGATGACCCTAAGCCCGGATTCCAGAAACCCTGAACTCGCCGACCTTCCGCCGACCTTCCGCCGCCCTTTCCTCCGCCTTCCGCTGAGGAAAAAATGACAAGTCCTTCGACCTTCGAATGCAAGGCCAGTGTTGGAACGCCTCTCGGTTGACTCGAAAAACAGTGGAATGTCGCGGTCGGCTCTCTGGTGGAGCGCTGCGACTTCGGCCAGGTCCAGGGCCCTGGATGGGCCCCAAAAACCTCGTGTTTCCCGCCCCCGCTCGTGAGAACAACGCCGACGTCGAGAACAGATGCCCGCATCCAGATGTGCAGGCGCATATGTATATCTATATATATAATATATATATATATATATATATATATATATATATATATATACAGTATATACAAATACAACCGCACACACATTTACATATACACATGTATGTATATGTATGTCTGGATGTATGTTTGTATATATATACACAGGCATACATCCATGTGTATATATATATATACATACATATATGTATACATACACACATATATGTGTATATGTACATGTATATGTATATGTATATGTGTATGTATATGTATATGCATTTGTATATATATATATATATATATATATACATATACACATATATATATATATATATATATATATATATATATATATATAGGGGCAGGCCCGGGGCCCACAATCAAGTGCCCCGAGCCCCCATGGGAGGACGGGGCGGCAGGGGATGTCCAAAATAGTCCAGGAGGACCTCCAGAGGCCCCCCCAGACGGCAAGAGAGCCCCCAGACGGCCCCAGAGGCGCCCACGAGAGCCCCAAGACGGCCCCAAGATACGCCCAAGAGGGGGACCACGACTCAGCCCCAAGGAGCCCCCCAGAGGCCCCAGGAGGCCCCCGAGAGGCACCCAGGGGACCCAAACAAGGCTTCAAGAGGCCACAAAACAGCCCCGAGGAGGTCCCACAACGGTCTCAAAATGGCTACCGAGAAACAGCGAAACTGCCTTCACGACGTCCCAGACAGGCCAACCACGAGATCCAAACCAACACCCAGGAGGCCTCTAACCCACCATCTAGGGCACCCGCCGCCCGCCCGCCGTCCGCGTAGCACGCACCACTCTGTACTCAACAGCTTCAGTCTCTAAGACAACACCCTGTAGTCAACAGCCCCCGTCTTCAAGGCAACACCCTGTACTCATCAAGCTCCCGCTGCAAGAGAGCACCCTTAAGGAATTCATTCAAATCCCGACCCGCCCGCCCGCCTGCCCGCCACCCGCCCGCCCGCCGCCCGCCTGGCCGCTCGCCCGCCTTCCGCTTAGCACGCGCCACCCTGCACTCAACAGCCTCCGCCTCCAAGACAACACCTAGCATTCAACAGCCCCCAGGGCTCCCGGGACTGCCTGGGCCCGCTCCCAAACACGCCACGACACGCCAAGAGGGCCCTAAAGATTGCCAAGACAGCCCCAAGAGGCCCCCGACACGCCGAAGATGGCCGCAGGACGGCCGACGACGCCGCCAAAACGCTCCAAGAGCGCCTCCAGAGGCCCCTCCGAAGGGCCCCGCATTTTTGCGCTCTCGCATGCTCCGCCTCCCCACGGTCCCGGACGGCGTCAGAGGCCCTGCAGATCGCTTCAAGACGGCCGAAGAGGCTTCCAAGGAAAGACCAGATGCGGCCCAGGAGGCTCCCCAGATAATTCAAGAGGGCCTCGAGAGCGCCCCAAGAGAGCCCCAAGAGCGACCCAAGAGGGCCCGAAGAGCGCGACAGTTCAAGTTCTCCGGCCTGAGAGGCTCCTAGGACGCCCCCGGAGGCCATCAAGAGGCTCCCAAGAAGCCCCGTGAGGCTCCCAAAAGGCTCCCCGGACGCCCCAATAAGCCCCCAAGGGCCCCCCAGGGAGGCCCCCTGCGGGCCCCCAAGAGACCTCGGTAAATCGTATTTCCCGAAGCTTTCCGGGAACATGTCCAGGACACCCAGAAATCTTCAAAACAGGTTTCCACGAGGGCGCCGAGACAGCCCAGGGCCGCCCCCAGACGGCCCAAGAAAGCCCCAACACAGACGAAAAGGGCCCCAAGAGGCCCCCAAGAGGCCCCGAAACGAGGACATATCGTTCGAACACGCCCAAGATGGCCTCCGGACGGCCCATAAGGCTTCCAACACGGCCCAAAGGGACGCCAAAATCATTGATTATCCTAAGGTTTTTGATGGATTTCAGACACCCAGTGTCGCCCCAACAGGCCCCACGAGGGCGCCGAGACGGCCCAGGGACGCCCTGCCGCGGGCACGAGGCGGGGCCCGGGACAGGGCCCTCGCATCGGGAGGCCCGGGGGCCTTGCCGTGGCGCCCGAGATCACCCCAGAATTGGTCCCTGACTGTCCAAGAGGCTTCCAAGACGCCCCAAGAGGTCTCCAAGATGGCTCCCAAGGAGCCCCAGGAGGCACAACTAATTTGTTTTCCTTTGGTTTTTGATCGATTTTCGAGTTCTCGCCTTTTGAGTTTCCTGTCGCTCCACGACGGCCCAAGAGGCTTTCAGTTCCGCTCCAAGGCATCCCCAGAGGCATCGAAGGCGGTCACAAGACAGCCCACGGGGGTCCCAAGACTGCCCCAGAGGCGCGCAAGGCGGCCCGAGAGGGCCCCAAGACGGCCCCAAGATGGAGCCAAGAGGGTTGACACGAACCGAAAAACCGAGTCTTCCACCCCGAGAGGCTCTCCGGAGGCCCCGAGAAGCCCCTAACAGGCTCCAAGAGGCCCCAAGAAGCCCCTCAGGGGGCCGAAGAGTATCCAAGAGGCCTCCCACGAAGGCCCGGGCCCCAAGACGGTGCCCGAGGCGCCCAAGACGGCCCGAGAGGGCCCCAAGAGGGCCCCAAGAGAGCCCCAAGAAGGGGAACGCGAACCCAACAGCAGAGTTTTCCGCCCTAAGAGGCCCACAGGAGGCCCCAAGAGTCCCCAAGTGGTCCGACGAGGCCCCCCAAAGCCCCCCACCAGGCCCCGAAAGGCTCACAGGAGACGTACACGGGGCCCCAAGATAGCCGAGCATTGCTCTCGATGCATCAAAATTGCTTCAAGGAGGCCCCGGGAGGCTTCCGGATTGCACCAATGTGGCCTAAAGCCGGGCCTCCACGCAGCCAAGACGGCCAATTGACTGCTTCAGACTGCAGAACATAATTTTCCGACTGCCCGGAGAACCCTGACGATGCCCCCAAGGGACCCCAAGAAGCCCCAAGATGCCCCCCCGAAAAGCACCCAAGAGGTGCCTCCAACAGCCAATTGAGGAAGCACGGAGAACCCCCCAGAAGCCCTTCAGATGCCCCCACGAAGACCCCAGAGGTTCCCAAGAGGCCCTCAGGAGGCACGACTATGTCACGCGCCTGTGCTTGATAGCGCTGTCCAACATGTTCTAGCGCGCCCCCGGCCTGGGCTAGAACCTGAGCGCGCGCGAAGCGCACGATGCTTCTAGATTCTAGTATACGTATGTGTATATATATATGTATAGATAGATGTATCCACACATAGTTGAATACATGCATTCCTATACTTTATATACGTATATATATATATACGTGTGTAGATGTGTGAATACATGTACACATGCCTCTGCATATGTGTGTGTGTGTGTGTGTTTTAGCTTTCTCTGCGCGCCCAGGTCAATGGCCAGGTAGAGGACTGGATCAAGGACAAACTGAAGGGCGTCAGGGGCACGCCCACGCCAGCTGTTATCGAGGCGGCAGCAATCCGCCTGTCTGGCAATCAAGCCGAATGTGAGAACGAAAGGCAGCGCAAAGAGCATTCAAGTACAGTTGCGCCGATCAGTAAGAACCCCTAGACCTCCGAGGGTTCAATGTGTTGTTCAATCCTTTCAGTCTCGGCATCTGGTGGCCGGCTCCTGGACCTGAACAATCAAACATGGATCCAGGACAGGAAAGTGCTCCCAGGGAAGGCGTCGGGAGGCCTGAGGCCGCGAACTGAAACATAGAATCGTCGAGTTTAACAGAGGGCACCCCTGGGGCCCACGCGTGCCAGGTACGCCTGATGTGCCAGCTGCGCCGTGTGTTCCACGTGCGCCATGTGCGCCGCATGCTTCAGCCGCGCAAGGTGCGCCAAGGTGCGCCCGCGCAAGTGACAGCACACATCGGCAAACATGTCAGCCCCCACCATCTTTGTCGAAACCAATGCGGAGTCGCAGCTGGGTGGCCATCATGATGTCTGGCGGGCCTGCACACAGCAGGCAATATGCCAACACCTCAACTTCCTTGTCAAAATCCAAGTAGTGATCGCGGGTTTGCCACGCACGGTCCAGATTTAGCCACGAAGTGCATTTTGCATGGTTTCTCTGCCAAGAATGGTGGCCTTGCGAACAGCAGGCAATGTGCTGGCACCCCCGCAGTCCCTGTCAACCAAAGCAGTGCAAAGTGTTCGCGGCCCCCCCAGCATGACTTTCGATTTTGAAGCAAAGTGTATGCTGCATATTTGTTCGACAGGGGTAGCGGGTGGGGGGGGGGTATGGCACAACAAAGCAAGTGGTATGCCTGCACCCCCGCCGTCCCTGTCAACAACTAACGCAAATTGGTCGCGGGGCGCCCGAACATGCTCCATAGTCGAAGGCGCTGTTTATTTTAGATCGTCGTTTTCTTGACAAGGCTGGTGGGGCGGGGATCATGGGTACGGGTGGGCCGCCAGTCGGGCGGGGGGGGAAATGTTCATTGATGGGCAGCAGTGATCAATCTGCCCCCCCCCCCCCCCGTCGCTCGTTCGGACACGCCAGACGCTTTCCAGGTGCGAGACGCGGGCTAGGGTAACCCCAATCAGCCCTCTTAGATAACAATGCACATTGATCGCGGGGCTCCCGCGCATGATCGTCGCCAGCAAGTATAGTTGATATTGCTTTCCAACAGGATGATGGGCTTGCACGCAGCAAGCAACATGCTGGCACCCCCTTCGCTCTTGTAAATTATCCTGTGAAGTACCCAACCCATTTGCATCAAGTGGCAAAGGGGAGTGGCGCAAATGTGCCAGGATGATGACAGTGCAGGCGCCGTCATGTGTTGCGCAAGCTAAATGTGATGCATTCGCGTGGCACGATTCACAGATCAAAAACGGAAAGATGCGGAGCGAGGGCCCAGGCTTGAGGAGAACATGGGGGCACGAACGAACGGCAGGAGAAAGACGCGCGGGGTGTCGACCCGCCAGCGCGGCAGCAGCACATGGAAGGCGGCACGGGGCAGAGGACGACGACGAAAACGACGGGAGGAAACAGGAGAGTGCTGCTTTTGTCGGCAGTGCGGTAAACATGCAGCGCTGTCTGCGCCATGTTGCCGCGGCGCACGACAAACTCATAGTCAGTGCAAGAAGCGAGCGAGGCCTATTTCGGCCGCCAGCTTCTCTGTTTCCTTCCTGACGACCCCGGAACTCGAAGCAAACGGCGCCAGTCCGTTGGACCCCAGGGATGGCGAGGTTTCCTGGTGGTCCGCGTAAGACTTCACTTCGGTGGGCCCCATGGAACCCTCGAAAGTGGGGACAGTTTCGCATATCGCAGCCCCCCAGGAATGGCGAGGTCGAATCTGGGTCTGCGCAGTGCGTCACTATGCTAGGCCCCCCAACAGCACTGGAAATTGGCAGCAGCTTTGCAGATCGCAGCCCCCCCGGGATGGCCAGGTCTAGTCTGAGTGTGGGTGGTGCCTAACTCCGCTGGACCCCAGCAGCCCTCGAACGTAACGAACGTTTCGCATATCGCAGCCTCCCAGGAATGGCGAAGTCTAGTCTGAGGGTGGGTGATGCCTCGCTGCGCTGAACCCCCCAGCTCGAAATCGACGACAGTTTAGCAGATCGCGGCCCCCCAGGGATGGCGAAGTCTAGTATGATCCTGGGTGACACCTTACTCCGCGGACCCCACCAGCAACCTTCGAAAGTGGCAAGTGGCTCGCAAACAGCAGCCCCCAGGGACGGCGAGGTCTAATCTGAGTCTGGGTGGTGCCTCGCCCCGCTGGACCCTCAGCAAGCTTCGAAAGCAACGACAACTTCGCAGGTCGCAGTGCCCCATGGGTGGCTGGACCATCAGCAAGCTTCGAAAGGAACGACAGTTTCGCAGGTCGCAGTCCCCCATGGGTGGCGAGGTCTAATCTGAATCTGGGTGGTGCCTCACCCCGCTGAACCTCCCAGCAGCTGAATGTGGCGACCGTCTCGCAGACTGCAGCCCCCCCAGGGATGGCGAAGTCTAATTTGAGTCTGGGTGGTGCCTCGCCTTGTTGGACCCTCAGCTAGCCTCGAAAAGGAACGACAGTTTCGCAGGTCGCAGCCCCACATGGGTGGCGAGGTTTAGTCTGAGCCTTCGTAGCACGTCAGTCCGCTGGACCCCCGAGCAGCCGTCGAACGTGGCGACAGTTTCGCAGATCGCAACCCCCCCAGGGATGTCGAGGTAGGAGGCAAGCTGCCGCGCGGGAGGGAAGAGGAGAGGAGGGTAGGTGGCGGGGAGGAAGGGAGGCGCGCGACCGCAGCGCTCTATTCAAAACGAATACCCAACGCAGGAAGGTTGGGAATGACCTTGCGACGCACCCGACACATTTACATTAAGTGACAAGAGGAATCCACCCAAACTTGTCAGGGCAATGGCAATGCAGGCGCCGCTGTACGTTGTGTAAACTACGCGGGACACGCGCGCGTGGCTTGGTTCACAGGGCACCAATCGAAGGGCGAGGGCCGAGGGCCCATGCTCGAAAGGGACACGGGGGTGGGAATGAAAAGCAAGCGAAGGACTCGACGGGGGCCGAACAGTCAGCGCGGCAGCAGCAAAGCAAAGGTGACAGGGGGAGGTGGGCGACGACGACGGCGACGGGAGGAAACAGGAGAGTGTTGCTTTTTGTCGGCAGTGCGATAAACATGCAGCGCTGCCTGCGCCATGTCGCCGCGGCGCTCGGAATGATTCAACTTGCTTGTAGCTAGAAACTCGCGAGGCTTGGCTCGCCCGCCAGGTTCTCTGCTTCCTCCCTGCACCTTTCAGCGTGGGAGTTAAACGCTCGAAGGCGCGCCGCCAGGTATGCGGGCGGGCCGTGGACCAGGAAATCCACGCCGGGGTCGCGCACCATCAGGAGGTTGACCACGGTCGTCGCCATCGACAGCATCGCGTGGAGATGCAGCTAAAGGTCGTCCATTTTCCATCCATCCTCCCACCCGGCGTCGGCACTGACACCGCGGTGCAGGGCGCGGCCCGGGCGGGGCGCCAGGACCTTGGCATGAGAGATGGCCGGGCCGGCGCGCGTGACCTTATGCTTCAGGAAGTCACAAGAGCTCAAATTCTGCGGTTAGGCGCGCCGCGTCCGCGGCGTCGATGCTGTCATCGAACTCCGCGAGCTTCTCGCCGAAGGGGCCGGCCTTGTATTTGCCCACTCGCACCCGCGCACCGCGCGCGGCAGGCGCCGCAGGCACGCCGGACGTCGCTCGGCCTTCGCTGCTTCCACCTCGTCCTCATCTTTCGGGTTGGCGGCCGCGTGGGCGACCTCGCCGTCGGCGTCCTTGACGAGCTCTCTTGTCTGGTCCAGGTGCTCAAGCAGGCGGATTCGCATGCCCGCGTGCAGGGCTGGCATCCCGTGCGCGCCGCCCGCTTCATTCGGGCTGACGCAGGTCCGACGCGCAACTTCGCCAAATAATGCACATGGCACCCGGGGGCCTAGGTTTGGCATGCCGCACAAGGGATATATGGAAACATGTGCAGGTCCGAGAAACAATTCGTGAAATCATGCTCTGGGCGTCCCAGAATAAACCCCAAACTGCTGTCGAAAGTGGCGTCAGTTTCGCAGATCGCAGCCCCGCGGGGATGGCGAAGTCTAGTCGAAATATGCAACAGTACGTCACTCCGCTGGAGCCCCCAGCAAGCCTCGAAAGTGGCGACAATCCCGCAGGTCGCAGCCACGCAGTGATGGCGAAACCTAGTCTGCATCTGCGTAGCACGCCACTGCGCTGGACCCTTCTGCAGCTCTCGCAAGTGGCGACAGCTTCGCAGCTGCAGCCCCGCATGGCTGGCGAGGTCCAATCTGAATCTGCGTAGCACGTCACTCCGCTGAACCCCCCAGCATCCTTCGAAAGTGGCGACAGTTTCGCAGATCGCAGCCCCAGAGGGATGGCGATGTCTAGTCAGGGCTTGCGTGGCACGTCACTCCGCTGGACCCAGGGCGGCCTTCGAAGGTGGCGACAGTTTCGCAGATCGCAGCCCCACAAGGCTGGCGAGCTCTAGTCTGATTCTGCGTGGCACTTCATTTCGCCGGGCCCCCCAGCAGCCCTCGAACGTGGCGACAGTTTCGCCGATCGCAGCCCCGCAGGGATGGCGAGTTCCAATTTGGGTCTGCGTGGCGCGTCTCTCTGCTGGTCCCCCCAACGACCTTCGGAAGAGGCGACAATTTCGCAGATCGGAACTGGCGGCAATTTCGCAGATCATTGATCCACAAGGATGGCGAAGTCTAATGTGGGTCTGCGTAGCACGTCAGTCCGCTGGACCCCCCAAAGAACTTTCGAAAGTGGCGACAGTTTCGCAGATCGCAGCCCCGCGGGAATGGCGAGGTCGAGTCTGAATATGCGCGGTGCCTCGCTCCGCCGAACCTCCCAGCAGCCCTCGAAAGTGGCGAGGTGGGAGGAGGCGGGAAGGTAGGAGAAAGGATGGAAGGAACGCGCGCGACCGCAGTGCCCCATTCAAAGCGAGTGCCCCAACGCAGGGGGGTGGGGGGGCAAATTCCC